AGAGGTGACTTGATGCGCATAACAACACCCACAGGCCAAAGCCATGTGGAAACATAGAAACAGAGCGAGGCAGAAGGGGGCTCCCGGGACATCTAGTCTGACCTCCGGCACCAGCCGGAAGACCCCCGGCTGCTGAGGAGAGCTCCGGAAACGGTGAAAGCAAGCCAAGTGGGACAACCAGAGCGCCAGTAGTGGCGCTGCTGCTGCTCAGCATTTATGTAGCAGTCCGGTGGAGGACTGGGGGCAGGTGTACCCTCGTTTCCCCATAGGGCAAAGAGCAGCTTTAGGCACCGTTTTCATCACAGTGTGTTAAGCAGGAAAATGGTGCAGGGGAGGAGGTTAACCCCTTTCCTAGCGCTGGATTTCTCCGCCACATAGCACTAGGCCCCGAACACTCTCGGTGGTCTCCTCTGCCTTGTGCCAGAGACGCGGCCAACAGTCACTCCCGCGCGGCACTCCTGCACTGAACCGCAGCTCAGGGCTGTCTGCACTGCACCTCGTAGGTCCTTATGGAGGTGTAAACGTACGGGAAACTGAGGGACTGGAAACAAAACAGCACAATTGGCTTCGAATAACTTTCGTTGCCTTTGCTGCTGGGTAGAAAATAAGCTGTCGTGCTACCTCGAGGGCCTGATTTAGACTTTTTCTACCAAAGGCAAGTTGCAAGGTCTCCTCCATTCCTTCATTCATTCATTCATTCATTCATTCATCCACTGCCCCGTCCATCAGCCAGGATGAGCTTCGGGTCTCATCATGCCAGAGCCTCCATTGCCTTCTGCTTGCTGCTGCAGCTTGCGTGGCCCCGACCAGGGTCCTGTCCGTTTCCCTTGCCCATCCCTGCAGCCATACCAGCAAGCCGCTCTGTGCTTGTGCGCTTCGCCTAGTCCACAACTATGCTAATCTTGGGCTTTTGTTTAGCTCAAAGCAGGGCAGTTCCTATTTACTCACTCCGCGGATCCACTCCAATGCTGGCTTCTCTTCGTACTTCCTCCTCCGTGGGCAGTCCTTCGAACTCTGCCTGGCCCTTCCTCTGCCTTTTCTGCGTAAGTCTTAGATCGTCCATCCTTCTTCTGCCTTTCTTTATTCTGGAGCAGCAGGAGCAGGTGCACCAAAATAACTCCCTTGTTGCAACAGGACAGGACTGCTCCCTGGACATCAACTCCCTAGATGCTAGTCCAGCCATCCGGAGTGAGCTGTGTGGTCAACCACGTCCCCCTTGCGCACTGTGACTGGGTTCCCACAATATCAGAACTCACACTCAAGTGTGGGTGGCTTAAGAGTTGGTTGTTGTTGAAGTGCAAGTTGTTGTGCTATGTGAATTGGTTAATCGTGAGCCAACAGTTCACAGCCAGCAACAAACCATGTGTTGGGTTGTTCATGGGTTGCTAGTAGTTAACAAACCATGGTTTGTTAGAGGGCTGAGTTCACAAAGCACAAGAGCCCATGCTTAAAAACAAGCCACTGCTCAATAACGCCTCATACTCAGTTTCAAGTGTGGGTTCTTCTGTCGTATGAACCCAGCCATTAATCATTTCCGGCTTCCCTAACCATGGTTTAGCACTACATCTGAACACTTCAGCAAATTGTGGTAAAACATGCTCCTGAGCTTCAGTCTGGAAAGACTGGGCCTGAATAAGGTAAACTTGCTAAGCCTGAGGTAGATCAGGGATCAGGGTAGCTCAGGCCTCAAACACAATTACTAAAGGGCCCTAAATCAGAAGATCTGTTTTCAGGAAACGCAGATGCCTGCTGGCTAGATATTGGATTGAAGAGGGTTGATCGCAAACTGTTTGGTGCCCCAAGGATTAGAGTCTAAGGGCTAAATGTGATTCTCATATTTTATCACTGCCTTAATGGAAACTCTTTACAGTGTGGTTGTAGCACTTTGCTTTGAAGAGAACCACTCTCCTCCTGGCTTGCTTCTGAAGAGTCACCAAAGCGCACTTGCTAGGAGAGTAAGCCGTGATGAGAGCGCTTTGGACAATCGGCCACCTTTCCGCTCTGCCCCACCCCTCTCTGCAACGCGGGATAATAGGGCTGACAGGGCGGTTGTAAGAACTACTAAGAGAATTCACGTGAAGGTGTATGGAATGCCCTGTATACTCGAAAAGCACATCATCCTTTTTGTTGTATGAGGATGACTGCTTGCTGTGCAGAGGTCTGTGAATCATTTCTTGAACTTGTTTCACTCTACTAGTATTGCTAGCAAAACCATGCAAAGATGAATATTCTTTTCGTGTGTGTGTGTGTGTGTGTGTGTGTGTGTGTGTGTGTGAGAGAGAGAGAGAGAGAGAGAGAGAGAGAGAGAGAGAGAGAGAGAGAGAGGGAGGTTTGTGCACTGGTGTTGAAGATTCCCGTTCACTTTTCAGCCGTAGGGAGGGGACAGATAAAAGGTTTTCGGCTCAGGTTGTCGTGTGGAGACAGCAAGATCTGTGCCTCAGTCGTGGTCCTGCAGTGAATTGTGGAAATTTAATATTTTAAGATGGAGAGGTGCATTGATTTTTACAGCAGGTGAAAATATTGCAGACGCACTGTGCAGCAGGCCTGGTAACAGGGAGGGAGGGCACCAATCTAATTTTGGCCTGGTCACAATAGTATAGATTTTCCACCCAGCTCAGCAGAAAAGCCACTTTAAGGGCACAGAAGCAGAAGCAGCAGCTGCAGCTGCAGCATTTTCAGCATGTTGATGGGCACACTGTAATACCTGGGGCAGCTGATTGCAGCCTTCTTGGGGGGCAGTGCCTCCTCCATCCATTCCAGTGTGAACTTGTATTTTATCTCCACCTGAGAATATCCCTCTCCCCTCTTTAAGTCACATCTGTGGCCCTTCTGAATAGTGGGGCTCGGCTGATCTCAAGGTCACGCATTTCTGGTCGGTGGGAGCTGTGCAGGCAAATGCAGGTTTTTCTCTGTCAGCCTCTGGCTTAGCCTGAGCCGGCTTCCGATTTTGACCATGGATGGCAGTAATAGGATTCCTGTTTCTTTCTGTATGACTCTGCAAAACTCAGCAGACTGTGCCAAATTACTGAAGATGCTTTGATGGTGCGGTGCAGTTTTTCCGTGTGAGCAGGACCAGTCAAGCTTCTGATGGTGCTTGATGATGCCCTGATTGGAATAAATCCACATCTTCTGTTGCAGATGCACACTGGTTGTTTGATCCATTCATTTTTCAAAACAGAAAATAAAATCTGTGATCTTATTCAATGTGTTACGTGCAGCAGTACAATCCCCCCGTGCCCCCCCGTGTGTGTGTTTGTGTGTGCGCGCGTGTGTGTGACTCCTTAACTTTTCAGAGGTAGAGCTTGTAACCTGGGACAAAACAAACCATCTCTGCAAAGCTTTTCAGAGGCTTCAAGAGTACTAATTCTGGAACAAGAAAACAGCAGACATACCATTCATTTCGGGGGGGGGGGAGAGACAGACGCCCCTGTGTTCAGTGTCACTTTATGCTGAAGGCTTGTTGGACTTTAAATATCTCTGTTGCAGAAGGTTTTTCCCCCTGTTCAAATAAAGAAATCCACATCCTCAGATCTTGCTATCTCTAGTTTAAAACCAGGTGATGTGCCCGTTTCTTCTTGTGACCCCTCTTTGCCTATCTAAGCAAATAATTCTGGAAGCTATGCCCAAGTCTCTTGCCTGTTACCCCTTCTGTGCAGCTTGCTGGTAGAGAGTTAACTACATTCACATTTAAATGAGGAGGAAAGACATACCCACCTATCTGCTGGTGTGAAACTCTAACAATTCAGCAGAAACCCCTTTTCTTCTCCCATGACTGTCTCAGTGTTGTTTTCTTCCGCTCTTCATGGATGCACCGTGCAACTGAATTAATAAAATCAGAATCTTTGATCCGAAAGCATCCCAAGCAAACGTTGCAGAATGATCTGGGGGGAGGTGTGGTGGTTATCTGCTGGTGGAGAAACCCTTGTGCCCCTGAACCCGACCGACTGAGCCTCTCCTCGGATGCCTGGGAGCGCGATGGACGCGGAAGTATTCCGGCACTGAGCGATGCTGGCTGTTGGGCGCCCGGTAATAGCCAGAGAGTAACTGATGAGGAGCATGTGCGCTCGGAAGGGATGAGTGAATAGCTGCAGTCTTCTTCTCTCGTGCGTTTCCTCCTTGCTCGCTGCAAGCGGTGCAGAGGGGAGGGGGCGGGCCGGGAGGACACCGGCTTTCTCTCGCGCGGAAGGAGCGCGGATCCCCAGGGCCGGGAGGCCAGAAATGGAAGTTTGAGCCGCATCTGCCTCTCGAAAGAAGAGCGGCAGGAGCAAAAGATGCCGGGCGCCGGAGCCCGCGCGGCCCCGGCTCGGTCGGGGAGATAACAGTGGACCTAGGATGAGGCTTTTGCTCTCCTGGGCTGAGTGTCTTTCCTCTCAGCTTATGCCGTTGAACTAGCGATGGGCAGCAGTTGCGATAAAGGTATCTGTTGTTTTCTCTGTAAAATGTGCTCATGTGATACTGGGTAACACCAGGAAAAACTCTGTCTGGTTTGTTTCATGCTATCAGAACAAGGAGAAAGTGGCCTGCCTGCAGAGATGTTTTTATATTGCTCAGCGTCAAGAGTGAATACTTTGCTGGCCACAGGCTGCAATCCGATGCATGCATACTTTGGACCAAGTTCTGTTTAACTCAGCTGGACAAAAGATACGCTTAGATGTGAGCTGTTACTGCCTGAATTAAGCTGCACGAGACCGACCTCTGACCTTTATCTGATTGTGCCCAGTGCAATTTATATGCGGAGCTTCTCCTTTCCAGGATTTCATTTGCAAGCATTAACTCTCTGCATGCCTGGCTCGAAGCAGAGTGCTCTTGAGTCGCAGGTAAAGCGTGTGTTGTAAATTGGCCAAGCGAGCATTGGGCAAACCAGAGTTTTCTGAATGGCAGGCAAGGAAAGGTTTGCTTTGCAGATAACTTTTCTGTAACTTGTAATGGTGAAGAACGCGCCCTGTGTTTTGGGTGCAACAGCCTTTCCTATTCCTCACCTACTTTTTCCTTCCCTGCAGAAGTCCCCGCGGAAAGGTCTCCTCGCAGGCGGAGTATCTCAGGGACAAGCACATCAGACAAAACCAACCCCTCCGATGCATCGAACACGTCCCCGTTCAAAGTAAGTCTTCCTTTTCGTGGTGGGCCCCTCACCTGAGCGCCAGGCTAGGGCTAGAATGCTCATTATGAAACAACAGGCTGCGGCGGCCGCTTGGGGTTGAGAACTCAGCCATCAGAAAGCAGATGTGTCGTCCAAAGTTATCGGACAAATGTTTATCCTTGGATGGACTTTAGACTTGTCCAACTCTAGATCGGCCTGCCTCTTTTTTCCCAGGAAAGGAACAAACGAGAAGAGGCTCTTGTGTGCTGGGTCTGGGAGCTCATGCCGTTCCCCCACATTTTAAAAAACATGTTTGCCAAAGGCCAGCCTGCAATTCCAACCTGAACTGGAGTTTGGGTACTTCTCATGGGGAGGGTCCTCCTTTCATAGCAAGCCAAAAAGCAGTGCTGTGCATTTGCACCCTGGTTTCATGCAAAGGGGAATTTATCATTGGAAGGCCACGCTGGTAATCCCTGAAGGTTGTAAATTACTTCATTCTGTTAATCTCAGTCCAAAGAGATTGTTGTTTTGTTTTGTTTTGTTTTGTTTTGTTTTTTACACAGTAATTAGAGCATCAAAATAGACAGCACAGCTATTCTCAAATTTCTGTAGCTTTTCTACTGTTATACAGAGTGGAGACTCAGTTACAGCACAAATCAGGTTAAAGCTAAAGTGCTTTTTAAACAATATACTGAACTAGAGTTACACTTGTTAAAAGACAGCATTCAGCCATAGTACTCTGGGATTTTTTTATGATCTACTTAATGGTCAGTAATAAACTGGGGGAAAGGCCTTTGTTTCACATCACTTTAGTATTTTCTTTTACTATTGTGCTTCCCCCTTGGCTTTGCCCTTCTCCGTCTTTCCCCATTATCAATATTCAGGATAGTTGTTTCTAGCTAACCACTGCTATTATGTTATGTTTAGGCTTATTTATGTTATATTTAGGCTTATTTATGTTGTGTTTAGGCTTATTTATCTGTTAGTCCCCTTTAAAATCTTGCCTTATACAAATGCACATATCCATCATGGATTCATCTTAGCAAAAGTCTGTCTCAATGATTCTTTATGTGTGGTATATAATTATTTAATGAATATTAGACATGTCCTGTAGATCAAGGGTTAGATCTTGGTTTAGTCATGCCCAGAGTACTGTGACATCGGTTAATAGGAGTAATTTGCCCCAGTCGGCTCACTGCAATCACAACCCAAGTCATGAGCTCGGTGTTTGAACTGCTCCTCTAAAAATGCTTGTTAAATGGGGGGCAGCTCCATCTGAGACCATGGACAGGCCTGGCGACTCGATGCGCTGCTTCACCGCGTGCGAATGGTCAGGTTCAGAATCGGCGCACGCCATCCTGCGCTATTGACCGGGGAGCCAGGCAAGCCCTTTGTTCCGCCTCCTGAGAACTCACACTGGGATAGCTCCCTCCTCCTCCTCCTGTTCCGTTTTTGCTGAGCCCTGGCAATGATCCGTCTGTCTCAGATCAATGGGGTTCAGTGGATGCAATCACAATTTTTGCAGCTCAGGATCAGCCATATTTCCCCATCTCTTACGGAAGGCAATCCTCTTTTTGCGCCTGTTTCCAAAGGCCTCCGTTGCCCTGTGCGGTTTGTCTGTTTCGCAAGGAGTGTTCAAAGGACTGGGACCCATTCACATGACTTGACCTCCCCCCGCAGGGGCGAGAGTGTCTCGTTCGTCCCTCAGGAGTCCTGTGGGCTGTAGCTGATGGAGCGGCTTAGGCTGTTTGTCCGGCACTTAAGCACGCCCGCTCTTCTCGAGTCTAGAGATCAGGTATCTCCGTCTTGCGCTAAGACCCAAAGGGCTGCAGTCACACATTTCAATCCCGCAGCACAGCACTCGTCATATAGCCTCATTTCCCTGCCTTCAGGGGGGTCCTGCACACAGTTGTACGCACCGTGCCCCAGATTTGCACGATCTGCCTTTTTCTTGAGGGATGTGTGTCTTAGCAACGGTGCACGTGCGCACAACACACACACACCGCCATTGTGCACACGGTGAAGACACGGACTTGCTGCGCCTCCGCACTGGGGTAGTTCCCTCATGTGTTTTCTGGCCTTTTGGTCTCACTGGTGCTCTTGCATAGTTTTTCCATAAAGGCCAAGGGCTAAATGAGAGAGGTGTTCGTGTTCTTGAGTATTTCTGTGGAGGTTTGAGTGGCTGATGGCAGTGATTCCCACCAACACGCTTGCAAGGGCCAGCGCATGAATTGAGGGTGGCAGCAGGCCAGCCGGGAGCAGCTTCTAGGAGAACTTTGGAAACGGTTCTTAGGAATATATGCTTAAGTAGAGCTGCTTGTTTTTGAAGTTAACCTGAACACCTCAACTCGATTTCTCCTCCATACTTAGTTTTCCTCTCTCCTGCTCTCATTAAAAAGGATGATAAAGTATAATGGAAAAATGGCATCCCAGTTGCTCTACTTAGCTAGCAATGAAGAAGAATTTGGATCTGGGGAAATTCAGAAGGTGACCTTCCCAGCATTCTAAGCTGAGCTTATAAGGATGGGCTTACACGGCCTGATGCTTCAGTACCTTTGGCGCCCCTGAGCATCGTTTTCAGATTGGAAGTGCCCCATTGCTCAGCCTGCCAGAAGCATTCAGACCAATTAAAGATGAAGCCCACACTCCTCTTGTGGCTAGCAAGCCACCTCAACTGCTTGTTGTCTTCGGCTTCACAGCATGACCCATCTGCCACAGGATCGAGTAAATAGGAAGGGGTCATGGTGAAGGGGTTTTGGACCACATGATGCTCCCGGTGCCAACATTTTTCTCATTGATCTGTAAGTTTTGCTGTAATAAGTTCGGGAATAATATCCTGAGACCTGTTGCGGGAACAGACTCAAGAAGAAAATGTTCATAGTCGTTGCAGTCAAGTGCTCTTAGTTTGGCAAGTTTGTACTCCTTGACAAGAGAGGTTATGGTCACAGGCACATCAGCACTTGCCAGAGATAAAGGTTTTCAAACTCTCCCTCAGAAGAGAGCTGGATTAAACATGAAAACATTAAAATGTTTACTCTGTAGAGCAGATCGCCGTTGCACTGAAATTATCTGGGAGCTTTTTGTGTGGCAAATGTGTGTACTGTTTCTCTTGCTTCCACGCTCATGTACAATCACACAATTCAAAATATGATGGAGCAGTGTGCAAAAACCGCATCAGCATATCCAAGCAGAGGCGCATACTCTCTGAACAGCAGCAGATTTGGGGTAAGGCAATAGCACATGGAATGCCCATTCTTAAGGAATTTGGCAGAAGAGAGATCATCTCAGGACATGGTTCAGCAAAAGAAGCACAGAGTGGCCAGAAGGCAAGAATGCTGTGTGCCTTTCGCAGGTTAGTGGGCTTGGTTGGACTTGGAACAGGGAGATCCGGAATCAGATTATTTCTCAGCCCCGAGATTTGTTGGACAGAGACAAACCCAGGGTTCGCGTTAGGGCACACTGAGAACCTTTTGCTTCAGAGTTTGTTCAGCCGCTTCTGCTGCTAGGAAGCTGAGCAGGTTGTGCTGGGCGTGGGCGTGAGCACGCCAGCGGTGAGTGACGAGCATCCTCAGCGAGTCTGCATGCAGCCACTGGCTCCGGCAAAGTTTCCCAGGAGCGGTCGTGAGGATCAAACGGAACTGACCCGGAGGAAGGAACAGAATGGAAATGTAACAACCTGGATTCCAACCTCTTTCTGCCCTCACTTCCTGGACCAAGCATGACATCATGTTCAGAAACAGATGGGCCGTCTCACAATTAAGGAATTTAGAAAAATGTTGCATTCAGGGAGTGTGCTTTTCCTTTTTTCTTTTTTTCTTGACTTTTTACAGACGGGCTATTTTAAAACCCAGTTCTGAATAGAACATTCACTTCTAGCACATTTTCCACAGTTCTCTGTCTAGGCTGCAAATAGTGGCATCCATACAGAGAGTCACTCATCTGTGCAACATTAATAGGCCTTTGTCCAGCACTGAGAAATTTGATTTACAGTTACATAATGTACTATAAGCAAGCGGATTATTCCCTTCACTTTCCCTTTTTAGAAGGATCTCTTCAGATAGCTCTCTGGCTGTAGAATGGGAACCACTCATATTTAAGAGGCTCAGTGCTTAAACTTGGTTTTCCTCTCTCACTTAAATATTTCATTTCTTTTGAGATGTCAATTTGTTGCATGAGGAATATCCTGCAATACGAAGGTTGTTTGGCAAGCAATTCAGCTGCAGCTCAGAGAGTGCATGGTTTGCAAGGAGAATATCTCGGGTTTCATCTCCAGCATTCCTAGATTGGGTCGGAAAGAACGGCTGTCTGGGAGCCAGAAGAACTACTTCGGTTCCTGTAGAATGGGCCATGCTGAGTTGGATGAACAGCCTGACTCTGTATAAAGCCATTTCCTGCAAGAAAGGCAGGTGTTTGGCTTGCCGGCAGGAATCTGGAGAAGTGGCTTTTTACTGAAAGGATGGGAAGGACATTTAGCGCATTGGTTCAGACACCGGTCTGTGAAGCAGGGAGTTCCCACTCGAGAGCGCTGCAGTCCCCACTTCCCGCCTTCCACTGTCTTCATCCATCCAAGGCAAGGCAGATACCACCGAGCAAGAAAAGCGTGATCTGGAGGCTCAGATGGGCATTCCTAAAGAGAAGCTAGTAACCTAGCTGCCCTGAGGAAGCCAGTCCCGGGAACTGGCTTCCTCTGAGTTGTGTGTGTGTGTGATTTGCCCCCCGTCCCCGCCCCCAGCACTCAAGGCAGCGCAAAACAGAACTGTTTGATAAGGAAAAGCTAAGTGCCTTTTCTCTGTTTGAAGGACTAACGAGGAGGATCATGTGGCCCTTCGGTCTCGACAGCGTTACTTAAAACATGCAGGGATAGCAATAGATAGACTTGTAATAAAACAAGTGAAACAAAAGATGAAACGTTTCTTCTGAAATGTTGTTTGTTCCTGTGCCCAAGAAGTCAGCTTGCAAAGCACATATCGTGTACCCTCCTTGTTGGTTCACCTAAATTCTCAGCTGCAAATTTGCCAGTT